TAATAAAAATAAGATGTGAATAAAATACAGATATGTATAAATATAAATAAAGCACACACACACAAAGGATAAATATGTACAGGTGTGCTATAGATAAAATACTGTAGAATATGAATAGAATAAAAAATAAAGTTGTAGGGATGTACTAGGATGTAGAGATACATAGTGTGTGTGTGTGTGTGTGTATATATATATATATATATATATATAAAATAGGCCTGTGTGTGTATCCCTTATTATGTCCCTTATTTTTCTATGAAAAACCACGATTGTCCCTTATTTTCCTTTTCTGAAGTTGGCAACCCCAGCTACGCCACATCCAGGCTAATTTATTCTTTATGCTCAAACCACACATTGTTGGTTATTCAGTAAAATAATGAATATGAATTTTGCAACAAAAAAAAAACCCCTTCTAAAGGTTTTCTCAAGCATGTTTTCTTTCAGTAAGCCTAATACATTTCACTATGGACTTTTAAATGTTTGTATGAATGGACCATTTGTATTTGCATTGTGTATTTTATATGACTGTATCTTGCTGCAGGAGTATCCTGTCTGTAAAGGTTTTTGGAGATGGATGCAGGACGTTTGTGAGTTCATGGTTAATGCATAAAAAAAGACATACTTCCATCTAGTGGTTAGGAGAAAAAGTAGCATAAATTTAATATATTTGCCTTCATGCTTCTGTACTTGTTATAATACCATGGAATTAGCTAGATACACATAAATACTCAAAAAGACCATCTTGCATTCCCCACCTTTAAATTGAGACATTTCCTTTCCAACAGTTCACTTTTTCCCGATTATAATTTTTTTAAATGTTTGACAATATATATAAAATTCTCTCTGATTAATCTAAAATAGAACACATACATTTATTTGACTTTGATTGTGTTATTTTTGCACTTTTCCTAAGCCTGAAATTATTTATGGAATAAAACACAAAGCTATAATTTTGAAATAATTTTTTCCCAAATATACTGACCAACAAGCTAACCTTGCATCTCCTATCTGACCATCTGAGTGGAGTTTTTCCAAAGGGCCTCCTTGAGACTGAAACATACTGAAACTGAAAGGGAGAAAAACAAAGGCTGGAAAAATATTTATTTAGATTCACTTTAGCAAAAACAAGTGACATCGTCTTTTTCATCATATACTCCCTGATTCAATTGTCTTGTAACAGCTTGGCTTATAACAGTGATAAGCCTCAGGCCTATTACTCAGCTAAAACCAACAACGGTCCCAACCCAAGTGTGTATATGGCTTAAAGACCAGTCAGACATATTACAAAGACCTTGACTAGAAAAGACATTTGTCTATCAATCCAGAATAAGGCTTAAATGAATTTACCACGGTTTCATGTTACCCATAATAACAAAGCTGAAAGTCCTCACCTTAAATTCTGCACAGTCTCTGTGAAAACGTCTCACTAAAACTCGCTAAAATAAAATACGGAATGGGGATAAGAATACCAGAGCTTCCTAAGAAGGGGAAAATAGCAAAAATGCAAAGAACACAGCTGCATGACTTCATGAAAAACACAATCGCGTCACAATTTTCATACATACAAGCGCATCTGAGATAAAGTGTAAAAATACCAGTCTCCTATTTTGGATAAAGCAAAATTCAGCTAGCGTTTCAATAAAATTAACATTCAATATTCCCTGGAAACCAAATGGGTCAAGAATAAAGCAAGATCTCCCAGTGTAGACGTGCCAATGCTTGCACAAGATACATACACAAATATAAACATCTGTTGACTGCAAATAAAAATGTTAATGGAACAGCGTTTCCCTCTTTCCATCTATTCTGAAAAGCATAATTGTTGCTGTTGTTTCTGGTCAATCATTCTTAGGCTGTAGATAAAAATGAGTTGTATAAAAACAAGCACTTGACATGAGGATTAAATGTATCCCCCCTGCCAAAAAAAAAGTCCCTGTGTCTGTGTTTGTATAAGCACGTAGGTCTGCCAGCAAAGTCCC